AAGGAGCAGGTAGTGGAACAAAGCTGTTTACCTCTTGAGTATTGGTGGCCAGGTTGTAAATGAGAGAGGGAGAGGGAAGGCTGGGCGGAGGTGGGGACAGAGTCCCAGTATCCCTTCAAGGGCTCCACTTCCCAAAATTTCCACCAGTTGTCAACAGCTTCATCAGCTGGGCACTAAGACTTTATCACATGTGCTCTTGCATTTAAGATCCAAACCATAACAACCATCATATGCTATAGCTCATTAGTACAAATGAACATGGCTACAAGATGGAGCAGTTTCCTAGGAATCTATGGATGTGTACAAGGGCAGAGCCTATAGCACTAGTCATTTCTGAGTGACTCTACCACACCCAGCACACCTGACAACTGCTCTAATACCCTCATTTTTTAAAAACATTCTGTTTTTAAAAGATAAATTTGACCCAGCCCCTGGGTCAAACCGCACCAGAAAACACAATCAACTACATATTTGCAAAGCATATTATCCTACCGAGGCTCTGGAAATTCATAAAGACAGTGTTGATCTTATTTAACGTGACATTCTTCCAACTGTGTAACCACAAATCTTTTCTTATTCCAACTATTCACACCATGTGGACCCACAGTTCTGCAGGGCATGCTGGGAGGTGATTCTGTCAGCACTTAAGTGTGCCCAAGGTTCCATGATGTCTGCACAGAGTCCTCCCATAGCAAGCTTTCAAGGAGTCTGGAGCTTGGTGGAGTTTCCAGACTACAGCGAGCTTGTGCTGGGTAGTGTGAGAGACTCAGGGAAATATCAGAGAGGCTTCCAGTGCCTTCTAAATAAAGTAGGGTAGTAAAAATAGGACAGGAAATGAGGAAGGCTTAAGTAAAAATGTAAAACAGAATATTATAAGAAATACATAACTCTGCAGACACACTGCTAATAACATGGGCATACAACTTACAGAAGAAGCCAGTGTCCACCGAAAACTATAGAGTGGGGCTAATACCAAACTAGACCAATGGGTAAGGCATAGGCTGACATCACGGTGGAAGTGTAATCCGGATTTATTAACTGGAATACCTATGGGGTTATAGGAACAGGGAAAGAGATCCAAATGACCTTTTGAACACAGAAAGTGGGAGAATAATGACTCTACCAACACAACTGGTAGAAGATTCCAGTACTGCCCTGGATGAGTGTTGATAGATTTGAAAGGAAGCATTACATTTGCAGCGAATGCTTCTTTACCTGTCAGGATCCACCCACACAGTTTTGCATATGACAACATCCAAATTTTAAAGCTCTGCAGTGTGGTGGGATTGATTCACCTCTGAAGCTATTGGAAGAGGCTTTTTCCTCTCTTAGTGGTATGGCAGAGAAAGAAAAAGTATGAATACTCCATAGATTCAACTAAGCTCCTGGCTGTCAGTCTAACCCCAAGGAAGACAGAGCAAACTGATGAGAAAACCTAGGGCCTTGGTTATATCATAGCAGCCCCTAGGTCAAACCATACCTGAAGCAATTTATTCTGGATTCCTCAACTAATGAACTCCTTTATCATTCAAGACAGTTTAATCTGTGTTTTTTTAATCATTGCAGCAAACACACACATAGATCTTAACTGACAAAATGTCCAGATGTTTAATACTGATAAGCTGGCCCAACAATATGAATTTGGAAAACCAGCTGGAAAAGGTGATAGATGAATCCTGAAAGGCAAAGTGGTCCAGGAGAGAGAAATGCAGGAGGGGAGAAGCCGACGAAGAGGAGAGTCAGAGAGATTAAGGGCAGAGTTGGGTAAGGAAATGGAGCTGAAGGTGAGTCAAACAGAGAACTAGACAGAGGAGAGGGAGCCCGAAAGAATAAAGGACGGAACTCTAAGGGCATGACTCCAGAGAGGAGTCCAATTTTCTACTTTTTTCTCAAGAAAAAGTCCCTCCTGGTTAAAACAAAAATAATTATCAAATGAACGTGTGTTCAAAAGGTGTTCTGGGCACCGTATATTTAATAAACCATTCAACGTCTTCATTGCTGTAAGATGGGTACTGTTGTTAATTTTATAGAAAGAAAGCAAAGCACAGAGAAGTAGACGAACTCACCCATACTCACACAGCTAGTAAATGTCAGAACTAGAATCCAACCCAGCATTCTGCCTCTAGAGTTCACACTCTTAACCTGCATACCATACTTCTTGACCCTCCACATCTTTCTGGAAATATGGCTTTTGAGGTAGCTCTAATAATGCAGATAAGGATTCACATAGACGACAATGCATTCCTCACATTCAGTCAGAAACCGTTCTGTTCATTTGTATAAGCACCGTTCTCCTTTTAAGGGGCTGTTAGGATGTAAACCAGCAAGGGACAGATAGCTTATTCAGCCATTTACATCTCAGCAGAATTAGGTGGACAGAAAACTTTCCTATACCACCAAAGCGAGCTGGGCTCATCCCGTGGGTTAACACACGAGACGATACAAATCAAATAGCTCAGAAAAGAGGATTGAGAACAAACCTCTTCTTTTCACAATTCTCCAGTGAATCCAGACATGTTTCCTCCTGTCCTCTGAAGCCCATTGAGCTATTGAGCACATGTTTTAAAAGAT